TACCCATGCTTGTAAGTCAGGCTAGTAGTGAGTACCCATAGCTATTAAGACAGCTCGTAGTGATACCCATGCTAGTTAAGTCAGGTAAGTAATGAGTACCCATGCTAGTAAGTCAGGCTAGTAGTGAGTACCCATGCTTGTAAGTCAGGCTAGTAGTGAGTTCCCATGCTAGTAAGTCAGGCTAGTAGTGAGTACCCATGCTAGTAAGTCAGGCTAGCAGTGAGTACCCATGCTAGTAAGTCAGGCTAGTAGTGAGTACCCATGCTAGTAAGTCAGGCTGGCAGTGAGTATCCATGCTAGTAAGTCAGGCTAGGCAGTGATTACCCCATGCAGTAAGTCAGGCTAGTAGTGAGTACCCATGCTAGTAAGTCAGGCTAGCACACGAAAACCACATAAGCAAATTATAAAATTAATTTTACTATTAGTTTCAGTTACATCTGGAAGTATCTTCAGTGCGTACACTAATTTTAATTAAATTGCTATAAAAGATTTGTATAAAATGGTTGTAGGAGACCCCCTTTAATTAAAAGTAAGCTGTTTACTTAATGTTTTTTAAAACTACGCGGCTTATGGTGCTTAAGCTTGCCGAAAATATTTATATTTTTAGTAAAGTCGAATTTATTTATGTCACGTGAAATGGATTCTACTTGTAAGTCTTCGAATAAACTATCTAACCCTTTCCCAGCCCTTCCCCTCCCCCCCCCCCTCCAAAATATAAAAATGTATTAATCACAAAGTCCTGGTTCGGAGACGTGTATGCTCAAGTTTGGTTTTAGAAAAGAAAATAGGGTGGGGGGGAGAGGGGGTGTAGGGGAAAGACACTATAAGCAAACACTATAACATATTTATTAGAAAACGTTTCGGTCCTGGGACCTTGATCACTTACGTGTTTGCTTACGTGTCTTTCTAAACCAACTTGTCGGTATTTATTACCAAGGTTTATACCATGCTCAAGTTTCCATAACCTCTCCTCACCTATTATCCTTGCCCATTTAATACATAAAATGTGTTAGTACACTGTGGATGGACATCCAGGAGGGAAGCGGTTAGAAAACAGGTTCTGCTGGAACTGTACAAGGAAACGCTGTATCTGCTGCAATCTTTGGTAAATGACGTTGACCCAATCTTTAAAGAAACTTAACACAAGACTTTAAAGTGAAAGGCACAATTTGCAGAGGAACATATTTAAACCTTAACGCTTAAAAACATGTTCCAGAAGAATAAATTTTTCTCACACGAGCCCTCTCCAAATCTGTAGGAATCATCTTTCCTAAATGACCTGCTGAACTAAGTGTAGCCTTGTTAACGGAGATTTAAAATATGTAATGTTTAATATTGGTAAATGTCTGCAGTTTTACATAAATTTCTGGTTTGATCTAAACCAGTGTTAGACATGGCTTGGTGATATTATTTACAATTGAAAAAACTTTGTGCTTTTAGAGGAGCCCAAGAAGAAGCATGTATATGATGGTTACTGAAGCAAAGCTAAAGAGGTCAGTGGCTAGTGATTAAAGATCTCCCCTGACTTGCCAACTTAAGAACATAAGAAAGGAGGAACAACTGCGCAGGCCTGTTGCCCATACTAGGCAGGGCTGATAACATTCCTCAATTCCATCCCACTAACAAAACAATTCCCAACCCAATTTTCAATGTACCCAAGAAATAAGCTCTGGTATGAAAGTCCCACTTCAAATCCAACCCTTCCCACTCAGGAATCTTATCCAACCTAAAATTTGAAACTACCCAAAGTCCAGCCTCAATAACCCAACAAGGTAACTGTTTCGACACTCATCCAACAACTGCCTATTTCCAAACCAATACTTTTCCCTATGCCTTTCTAAATCTAAACTATCCAATTTAAATCCATTACTCCAGCGGGTCTCTTTTCGAGAGAATATCGCTCAAGACCGGGGATGTTATGTATAGGGGATGGCGCGGGGGCCCTTTTATATTAATGACCGCATTCTTCCGACACTTATACACTTCGATCAGGTTCTCCCATCACTCTTCGCGAACAGTATAGCGATCGTTTCTAATGATAGGAGATACCTGTGACGAGACCGCACATACTTCCAGAGTCTCTTCTTGCATAAGTAAGATTGAAGACTACATGCTTAGGGTTAATTAATTTAGTAATCCTACGAGAATGTTTTTCTAACGAATTAATATCATTCTGTAATATGGAGACCAGAATTGAGCTGCATAATCGTTATGGTGAGGCCTACTAATGATGTATAAAGCTGCAGTATGACCTCTGGACTTCTGTTGGCTTACACTCTTGATAAAATCCCAGAATCTATTTGAGCCTTATTACATACCCTCAGAGCATTGCTTGTCTTGGGTTTAAGGGTTGCTGCTTACCATAACCCCACCCCCAAATCCTTTTCGCAATCTGTATGGCTAATTTTTCTACATTATTAACTTAAAGTGCTAGGGTTTGGACACTCCCGACTTCAGAACCTTGCATTTACTACATTAACTCATCCCCACTTTTCTGACCAAGAATAGATTTGTCAAAATTTCCTCCGAAGTTCCCTAACTCACGTTTAAAAATATCCTACCTATCTTGTGTCATAGGCAAATTTTTGCTCATATACTGTAATTCCTTCATCAAGACATTGATTATTAATAAACAACAAAAGGGGCCCCAAAACGATCCCTTTGGGAAAGCCACTCTTTTCGATCCCCCCTCGGGGTTTTAAACCCCCTTTATGGACACTCTCTGCTTCCTGTTGTGAGCCATGATTCGATCCACAAGCACCCTTCCCCCAATGCCTGAGCCTACTTTTTCAACATCTTTGGTGCGGAACTCTACAAAAGCCTTACTAAAATCTAAGTAAAAAATATCAAATTTTTATCGTGGTCAAACCCCCAAAGCTTTATGAAGAAGTTAATAAATTTGTTTGACAAGCCCGGGCCCCTTTTGAATCCATGCTGAGTATCATTAATCAAGCATGTTATCGAGATGGATTCTTATAATCTCATTAATTGCTTAGTAAATGCCTACAATTGAGGGCAGGTTATTGGGGGTAATTTGACGGGAACGACTTGTCCCCTGTTTTAAAAAATGGAATTACTTTCCCTTCCCTATCAACACACACCTGTTTGAAGAGATAAATTAAAAATATTATTAATGGTTTACAGACTTCCATTTTGCATTCCTTAAGAACCCTTGAAAAAACCCATCAGGACCCAGTGATTATTTTGCTTTAGTCGGTCTATCTGCTTCAAACCTTTCACTAGTGACTTGATGTTACAAATTTATTTCTTCTGGCCCACTGTAAAAAATAATTACCGGAAAATTTTTTTTTGTCTTCCCGTTAAAAAACCCAGATAAAATAATTATTTAAAACGAAACTTTCATTTTTTGTCATAAGATGCCCAAGTTATTTTTAAGGGGACCTACTTATCTCTCTTTTGTTCTATAACCCGGAAAAAAAATTTTTGGGGTTTTTTTTAGAATCCCTGCAACTTTTAATTTCATAGTCCCTTTTAGCTTTTCTTATCCCCTTTTTAAGTACCTCTTAATGTCAAATACTATTCATAAGATGACCTCGCCCCTTTTGATACGCCTATAATTCCTTTCTTATGCCCTAGTAGATATTTCAGCCTATTATTCATCCATTTTGGGTCATTTCTATTTGATCTAATTTCTTTATATGGGATAAACGTTCTTTGAGCAGCATGTATAGTGTTCAGAAAACTCTCATATTGATAGCTCTCTTCGTTACCCCAGTCTACAGATGATAAGTGTTCTCTAAGCCCATCGTAATCTGCTAAGCGAAAATCTGGGACTGTTACTGAGCTATCCCTACTATCGTATTTCCATTCAATGCTAAATGTAATTGATTTGTGGTCGCTAGCACCCAGTTCCTCTGAAACTTCTAAATTATTAACAAGGGATTCATTGTTTGCCAGAACTAAGTCAAGCAGATTACCCCTTGTAGGTTCAGACACAAACTGCTTCAAAAACAATCCTGAGCTACTTCTAAGAAGTCGTATGATTCTAAATTCCCAGTCAAGAAATTCCAATCAATATGACTAAAGTTAAAGTCTCCTAGAATTACTACATTATCGTGCCTTGTGGCCTTAACAATTTCCTCCCATAGTAGTCTCCCCTGGTCCCTTTCTAAATTTGGGGGACGGTATATCACACCTAAAATTAATTTTTCATGCCCCTCTGAAAATTCTATCCAAACAGACTCTGTATGTGTTACTTCAGACTTAATACCCGTTTTTATGCAACAGTTCAAGCGATCTCGGACATACAATGCCACCCCACCCCCCTTCCCGACACTTCTATCTACTTGGAACAATTTAAAACCCTGAATGTGACATTCTGCAGGCATGTCCCGACTTTTTGAATTAAACCACGTCTCAGTAATGGCAAATACATCAATGTTACCTGCACTAGCAACTAGTCTCAACTCGTCCATCTTATTCCTAGCACTGCGACTATTTGTGTAATAAATATTTAAAGACCCTCCTCTTTCTTTACCCTTCCTGCTCCTTTCTGTTACTCCACTAAACCTATTACTGTCCTTGTCAATTAGTGCCACTGGCTTTCCAATGTCCACCTCATTTTGCCTATTACTAGTTCTCCTAGTACTCATATTACATCCCTGCGACTTCACAGTTTTCCCGCCAAAACCCATACCACTAACTATTCCTAGTTTAAAGACCTAACAGCTCCCTCCACTGCGTTAGCCAGTGCTCCCACCCCACACCTAGATAAGTGAACCCCATCCCTGGCATACATGTCATTTCTGCCATAGAAGAGGTCCCAGTTGTCAATGAATGTTACCGCATTTTCCTTACAGTATTTGTCCAGCCAGCAATTGACACCAATTGCTCTGGACAACCATTCATTTCCAACTCCACAAGACTACCACCTTCTCCCATCATGGACTACAGTCCCACTACTCGCACCCTCTTCCACCCTTCCGTACAACCACCACCTATCACACCACTTCTACCGCTGGACTGGCCAATACTTTGACATGATCCACAAGCTACCAGGCACCTACCCAACGTCAATTCTCCGCTTCAAAACCAAGAACCTTAATTTCATTGCTATGGCCAACTTCATGAACAATAAAGGTAAAAATGCAGAACATTCGTTAGCACTAGATGCAAAAAATAAATTAAATATCGTTAAGTTTTAAATTGAAATAAATTAAACAGCTTTGAGATTTATGGAACTGTTTTTTTTTTTTTTGTCCTCGAAATACTAGTTAAAATGTATCCTTTAGAATTCTCTGGCTAAGATAGGTTACTGTATCTATATTTTTTTTCTTTATCTAGATTTTTTGAGTCTCAAAATCGGGCCTCTTATTAGCATGTGCTGCCGGTGCCTCGTGACTGGATCCTCTTTCGTTTTACAGTTGTGTAGGGCATTATGGGAGTAATTGATATTTTACTTTGGCATCTAAATGTAAAAACTAAGGAAAACACTAAATATAAGTGAAATGTAATTAGATAAAGGTGTAAAAGATGTATTCGTAAGAGAACGCTGACATAATCGTTAATTAAAAAATTTCCTTCACGCGGTCAGCAGTGTTTGTCATTGATCACCGGCACCGTCAAACCTTCACATTTCGTAGAGTACTAATCAGATCTCTTAATTGACTATTACTAAAGCCACAGAATTTTGTTGCTTATTTTTAATTTAAAAATGTTAGACATTTAGGGCAAGTTTTAGATTCTTTGAAGTTGGAGTTAATTGATGATGGCTATTTTAATTTGATATGTTTACTCGAGTAGTTCTTTTATATTTTTCGTACATTTATGCTTAAGAACTGTTATCGTTGTGCTACATTAATTTAGATGCGAAATAGTGATAAAGCAAGTTGCCTAAAGAATTTCCAAATTTTCAGTCAAGCTTCTAATAGATCTTGCATGTACGCAAGGACAGGCTTGAAGAATGCATCCACTAAAGATTACAAGTTCATAATGGTTTTGGCAATTTATTAATGGTTTCAGGGGAGCACAACTGCTACAGTTACATCTTCCACCACTCCCTGGACATGGAACGCTACGAGCTTCACCAGCAGGTGTTTACAATGGGAGCTTTGAACTTTGAGGCCTTCACTCTGGGCAGTGGACTAGACCCACACACCTACCTCGCCGTAGCTAACTCCAGCAAGGATGTTAACGATGGGTTGGGTAAGTAACTATTAACATTGTTTGAATAATGGTGAATACATATTTATCTTGGTTCTCGAGCAACTGTTATCGAGGTTCTTAAGAGCTCTTGGCCAAAGGCATTAGAAGTATTCTTGGCTTACTCTAGAGTATTTCATTACCCAATCGCTGTTTAACCCCTACATGGTTTAGCGATCAAAAATGAATATAATCGGGCTCTGCCCAATTAAACCATACCAATTATTTAATTAGTACGTTCCAAAATACCACTGCAAATACCAAATATTTATTCATTCAAGTTATAAGGGAAACTTATAACTATCGCTTTTATAATGGAAAGTTCGTACTCTTCCAGGAGATCCCCACCGCTCACGCTGTTCAGTGGCTAGCTATCCAGGTACGCTCTTGTCTACTGATCTTAGTAAAACGTTAAGTGTTTTAGGCTCCTGACGTAAGGTATTCGTATTGATAAAACAGGCCTACATATGTTTTTGCTCATCTCTATGAACTCTTTCCATAAATGCTCGCACTGTATATTTTTACCCAATCCCCTACAAAGTAGTTACCATTAACCCTCGTTATATAAGAGTCTTGACATGAATGTTGGTAGTGGGGGAGAGGTTGAGGGAGAAGAGGGTTAAAAGTGAAGAGTACACATTTAAAAATTTATTGGAACTTCTCCGGTACAAAGTTGATAATTTATAACTGTTTTGTGATTAAATTTCCTTACCCTAGGTAACATTTTAAGGGAATACACTGGTTTACAGGAAACGTTAGTACTTACTAACGTTAGTACTTGTTTCTTAATTAAAAATTGAGGTTAAAGGCTAGTTAAAATTGTTACATCATATCATGTAATCTATCTTAAAACTGCCTATTCGTGCCAACACTTCAATGCACCTTTATCCAGTAAGCGTTGTAAAGGTAATTAAAGTTGCCCAATGTCTTTTATAGACAAGTTTCTGTGAAGAGCTTTAAAATCTTGCCGTGCCAAGTCGCTTTTCACTTTTCAACAAAGTGGTCGTATCCCACAGGCAGGGTGACCCAAAAGAAAAAAGTTTCTCCTTATAAACTTGATATATACGGGAGAAGAGGTTACTAGTCCCACGCTCCCGACATAGTAGTCGCCTCTTAAGACACGGATGGCTCACGAGGTTACTAGTCCCACGCTCCCGACATAGTAGTCGCCTCTTAAGACACGGATGGCTCACGAGGTTACTAGTCCCACGCTCCCGACATAGTAGTCGCCTCTTAAGACACGGATGGCTCACGAGGTTACTAGTCCCACGCTCCCGACATAGTAGTCGCCTCTTAAGACACGGATGGCTCACGAGGTTACTAGTCCCACGCTCCCGACATAGTAGTCGCCTCTTAAGACACGGATGGCTCACGAGGTTACTAGTCCCACGCTCCCGACATAGTAGTCGCCTCTTAAGACACGGATGGCTCACGAGGTTACTAGTCCCACGCTCCCGACATAGTAGTCGCCTCTTAAGACACGGATGGCTCACGAGGAACAATTGTTCCACTTCCCCATTTAGATAAGACGAAATAAAAAAAAAAGAACTGGTAATATAACAGAGGAAAAGTCAGTCACCCACACACACACACTCTCTCTCTCTCTCTCTCTCTCTCTCCTCTCTCTCTTCTCTCTCTCTCCCTCTCTCTCTCTCTCTCTCTCTCTCTCTCTCGCTCTTTATCTCGCTCTCTCTCGCTCGCTCTTTCTCGCTCTTTCTCTCTCGCTCTTTCTCTCTCGCTCTTTCTCTCGCTCTTTCTCTCTCTCGCTCTTTCTCTCTCTCGCTCTTTCTCTCTCTCGCTCTTTCTCTCTCTCGCTCTTTCTCTCTCTCGCTCTTTCTCTCTCTTGCTTTCTCTCTCTCGCTCTTTCTCTCTCTCGCTCTTTCTCTCTCTCGCTCTTTCTCTCTCGCTCTTTCTCTCTCTCGCTCTTTCCCTCTCTCGCTCTCTCTCTCGCTCTTTCTCTCTCTCGCTCTTTCTCTCTCTCGCTCTTTCTCTCTCTTGCTTTTCTCTCTCTCGCTCTTTCTCTCTCATCGCTCTTTCTCTCTCTCGCTCTTTTTCTTTCTCGCTCTTTCTCTTTCTCGCTCTTTCTCTCTCTTGCTTTCTTTCTCTCGCTCTTTCTCTCTCTCGCTCTTTCTCTCTCTCGCTCTTTCTCTCTCTCGCTCTTTCTCTCTCTCGCTCTTTCTCTTTCTCGCTCTTTCTCTCCCTTGTTTTCTCTCTCTCGCTCTTTCTCTCTCTCGCTCTTTTCCTTTCTCGCTCTTTTCTCTTTCTCGCTCTTTCTCTCTCTTGCTTTCTCTCTCTCGCTCTTTCTCTCTCTCGCTCTTTTTTCTTTCTCGCTCTTTCTCTTTCTCGCTCTTTCTCTCTCTTGCTTTCTCTCTCTCGCTCTTTCTCTCTCTCGCTCTTTCTCTCTCTCGCTCTTTCTCTCTCTCGCTCTTTTTCTTTCTCGCTCTTTCTCTCTCGCTCTTTCTCTTTCTCGCTCTCTCTTTCTCGCTCTTTCTCTTTCTCTCGCTTTCTCTCGCTCTTTCTCTCGCTCTTTCTCTCGCTCCTTCTCTCACTCTTTCTCTCTCGCTCTTCTCTCGCTCTTTCTCTCGCTCTTTCTCTCTCTCGCTCTTTTTCTCTCGCTCTTTCGCTCTCGCTCTCGCTCTTTCTTTCTCTCGCTCTTTCGCTCGCTCTCTCTCGCTCTTTCTCTCGCTCGCTCTCTCGCTTTCTCTCGCTCTTTCTCTCTCGCTTTCTCTCGCTCTTTCTCTCTCGCTCTTTCTCTCGCTCTTTCGATCTTTCTCTCTCGCTCTTTCTTTCACTCTCTCTCCCTCTTTCTCTCGCTCTTTCGCTCTCGCTCTCGCTCTTTCTCTCGCTCTTTCTCTCGCTCTTTCTCGCTCTTTCGCTCGCTCTCTCTCGCTCTTTCTCTTTCGCTCTTTCTCTCGCTCTTTCGCTCGCTCTCTCGCTTTCGCTCTTTCTCTCTCGCTTTCGCTCTTTCTCTCTCGCTTTCTCTCGCTCTTTCTCTCGCTCTTTCGCTCTTTCTCTCGCTCTTTCTCTCTCGCTCTTTCTCTCGCTCTCTCGCTCTTTCTCTCTCTCTCTCTCTCTCTCTCTCTCTCTCTTTTTACACAGGGTTTGACAAGGTTGAGGATCCCTAGCTTTATTGACAAGCTATTTACAGGTTAAGGATTCCTAACTTTACTGGCAAGCTAAGAGCTGTTACCTACATCAGCTCATTTGAGAGCATTTTTATTGTTATGAGACATAAAAGTAGGGAACAGGATGAAGTTGGAGCCATCTGTGGGCCAGCATTTTCATTTGATCAACTGACTTTATCTCGTTGACATCATTATGCTGTACGAATGTGTTCCATACTCGAGTCATCCTGGGTATGTATGATCTCAGATGGAGTGATGTTCTGGAGAAGGGTACAGCCAGAGTGAAGTTGCTGCTGGCTGCCCGTCTTGTGGCATAAAAGCTTGTTTCACACTGTCCTCGAAGTGGATCCAAGTGTGGTACTTTGACAATATTGACCTTGTACATAACAGTAAGGCCACCCACATCCCTCCTATGTTGAATGCTCTGCTGAAATGACAGATCTATCCAGGATGGGTCCAGGCGAGAGATGAGACGTCTTGCTCTGTTCTCTACTGTCAAGCAGTCGCAAATAAAAGGGGGGGGGGCAGGCAAACCAAGAAAGTGGAGCATACTCAAAGTGTGAGCGTACTTGTGCCTCGTACAGGATCTTGCAACCCCTACTGTCAAGCAGATGCGAGATACGGCGAAGTGCTGTAAGCTTCCTGGCTGCCTTGTTTGCAAGATTTACAACATGGTTCTTCATGGTTAGTTTGGAGTCATATTTCACCCCAAGGATATCAACTTCTCCAGGTGCCAACACCCTCCCATTCATCCTTACTACTGCACCAGCATTACCATTATGGTGCCTAGAGACGATCATCATTTGCGTTTTCTCAGGTGCAAATGTTACTTGCCATCTATTTCCCCAAGCTGATATAGCTCTCAGCTGGTGATTGATGTAGCTTAGAGCAGCTGGCATTTCTTCTCTTGGATAAGTGAATGTCAGTGTACAGTCGTCTGCATATGCATGTGATTCTGGGATGAGATGAAGAAGGTCGTTGAAGTAGACATTCCATAACAATGGACCCAGCACGCTTCCTTGTGGAACACTTGCCCCAATAGGATGTCTTGCTGATTCTGTTCCATTGAGAACTACACTTAGAGATCTACCATGAAGGTAATCACTGAGGAAACATAGCGTAGAGCCTGCAATTCAAAGTGCTTGAAGTTTTGCCAAGAGGCCCTGGTGCCACACCCGGTCGAAAGCGCCAGCAATGTCCAGTGCTACCACACAGCTGACTTTGGATTCATCCAGTGACTGGTGCCACTTAGTGGAGAGGTTTAACAACAGATCAGCAGCAGAGTAACCTTTCCTAAAGCCATATTGACGATCACAAAGTAGAGTGGTAGTCAAAAAATTCTGTCATTTGTCTTGAGATTATCGTCTCAAGGATCTTACCAGTGATTGACAGGAGTGACACTGGTCTGTAGTTGCTGATTTCTGCTCTGCTCTTCTTTTTGTGAACAGGGACTACATTTGCCTCTTTCCATAGAGAGGGCCATTTACACTGTACTAGGCAGTGCTGAAAGATGCGAGTTAGAGGTGCTGTTAGCTGGTCTGCACATCTTCTCAGCAATCTTGGGCTCAACTTGTCTGGGCCCACAGCCTTTTCTTGGTCAAGCGATTTAAGAAGGAAATGCACCTCCTCCTGCCTTATTGTCACCTGGAGTTTACCTGGAGAGAGTTCCGGGGGTCAACGCCCCCGCGGCCCGGTCTGTGACCAGGCCTCCTGGTGGATCAGAGCCTGATCAACCAGGCTGTTGCTGCTGGCTGCACGCAAACCAACGTACGAGCCACAGCCCGGCTGATCAGGAACTGACTTTAGGTGCTTGTCCAGTGCCAGCTTGAAGACTGCCAGGGGTCTGTTGGTAATCCCCCTTATGTGTGCTGGGAGGCAGTTGAACAGTCTCGGGCCCCTGACACTTACTGTATGGTCTCTTAACGTGCTAGTGACACCCCTGCTTTTCATTGGGGGGATGGTGCATCGTCTGCCAAGTCTTTTGCTTTCGTAGTGAGTGATTTTCGTGTGCAAGTTCGGTACTAGTCCCTCTAGGATTTTCCAGGTGTATATAATCATGTATGTCTCCCTCCTGCGTTCCAGGGAATACAGGTTTAGGAACCTCAAGCGCTCCAGTAATTGAGGTGTTTTATCTCCGTTATGCGCGCCGTGAAAGTTCTCTGTACATTTTCTAGGTCGGCAATTTCACCTGCCTTGAAAGGTGCTGTTAGTGTGCAGCAATATTCCAGCCTAGATAGAACAAGTGACCTGAAGA